GCCTGTAAGGCCTCTAGCACATCGCGAGTCCTCTGGCTCAACCGAGTCGGTACTTTCGGTATCAGCTCAGCGGCATATCATTGGACGAGATTATTTGCTGCAGTAGGCCGTTGGACTTTCCGGATACTTCACCTTGATCAGTTCTACATGCTTATTTACGTTGATGACCTTCAGGTGATTGTTTTCGGAGCTGAGAAATTCACCCCGCTCTGGGCACTCTTCTTGGCGCTGGAGGTCATGGGGACTCCCTTCTCTTACCACAAGTTTCGTGGTGGGGTGGAAGTGGACTTCATCGGGTACCACCAATTACTTCTCATGGACCGCCGGGATCTCGAAGAAGCGCGCTGGATGGATCGTGGAATGGATCACAAAGGCTGAATCTTCGAATTGGGTGGTCGTTGGGAGGTCTTTAGTGGAGTTCTTGGGACGGCTTAACTTCGTCCTTCGAATGCTTACCTGGTTGCGCAGCTTCCGGACTTCGTGGTGCTGGTCCTTCGCTTCTTTCGATTCCAGTTTGAGAGTGGGGCGAGACTTGATGCCGTGCACATGTGCTGGCCAACGAATGATCGGCAGGCCTTCCGGACCGATGCAAAGTGCGAACGGGGACGAATAGTCCTCGGAGGATGGTCTCTCGATCATGGGACCAACACCTACAATGCGCCTTGGTTCACTTTGGAGGTACGGCAGCGGGACCTACCCGCTCTCTTCAAGGACGACCTTTCGACCGAATGGGCGGCTTTCGGCCACACAACGCCGAAAGGGGGGCGTGACAAGCTCAGGCTCCAGGTCTGTGCCGGGACCGACAACAAGTCGACGCCAGCGGTGACCGATCGCGGGGTGAGCAACAAGTGGCCTGTTCAAGGGATCCATATGCAACTTGCAACGACGCTTCGCCAGGCGGACAAGGTGTGCCGGTTGGCATGGCGCCCACGTGAGGAGAACCAAGATGCTGATGATCTGACGAATCTGAGGACGGGAAATTTCAACCCGGAATTGCAGGTGCCTTTGACTCTGACAATGGAGGACATCCCCATGCATCTCTTCAAGGAGTTACAAGCAGGCTACCGGGAGTTCACACACGAACGCGAGCGTCTTGCTGAGCTTAAATTGCCGAATGAGAAAATCAGTAAGCGCCAGAAAATTCTTGATAAGTCGGAGTGGTAATTTTGCACTTCGGGCTTCCTTCGCTTCCCGGTCTAAAGTTGGGATGCAAGTTCCGGTTGCTCACTCAGCCGGAGGTCGTATGTACACTTGTGCTTCGATCCAGCTTGTAGGCTGGTGCAGATCGAATCCGAAGAGGCCCGACACACATCATGAAAAAATCGGAGTGCGAGTTTGGATGTGGCGCAACATGTCATTGAGTGATTACCTGCAGTTGGAACCTCTTGCGAACTTGTTGAACGTTGTCACTTTAACCCTTAACACCTGCCTCCCTAGAGCCGTAGCGCGGGACAAACCGTTTGGGTCTCCCCAAAAGGATTGTCTCGGAGTTTGAGCCAGGGGGGGTGGGCCGGGGGAAAAGTGAAAATGGTCCTTGTTTGCCTCCTTCGGAAAAATGCCTTGATTTCCTCATGTGATTGCTTGTGCAGTTTTGGATGCTACGGCAAGTACACACTGCTTGGCTCTTGAAGCGAGTTGAATGATTGGCCATGCCGTGGCCCATTTGGCGCGAGGTCAATTTTGAGACCCACCCACGCCGCCCTTGATGATGCAGTCCATTGTGTTTAATGTTTCACTTCGCATGCTATCTGCTCGATGGCACGTATCGCCATCCTTGGGGTGCAAGTTCCGGTTGCTCACTCAGCCGGAGGTCGTATGTACACTTGTGCTTCGATCCAGCTTGTAGGCTGGTGCAGATCGAATCCGAAGAGGCCCGGCACACATCATGAAAAAATAGGAGTGCGAGTTTGGATGTGGCGCAACATGTCATTGAGTGATTACCTGCAGTTGGAACCTCTTGCGAACTTGTTGAACGTTGTCACCTTAACCCTTAACACCTGCCTCCCTAGCGCCGTAGCTCTCTTGGTTCAAACGGCGGGACAAGATATTTGTGTCCGAGGGTCAGTTCGCAGAATACTACGGAATTTACAGCGGCAGGGCATTCAGCAGTGCTGCTACAAAGCGGGCGAAAAAGACCGCCCTGGCATTTGCTAGTCTGTGTCGATTTCCAGACTTTGCTGTGCTCATGCTTGTCTCCACCGCTTTGCTGCTGTCATGACGTTGTCCCATCCCCCTCTCCAAAAGGATATTGGCACCATATGCGGCAAAAGAAGAATGCCTTCAGTTGTTCAGTTGGCAACAGCTTGAAAGCCAGGACAAGGAGTAACAAAAGGAAGGCAAACAACACAAACGAAGGGCCCAAACTAATTCTGCACCCTGCTCTGAAGCTCGCTGAAGCTCGCTGCCCCGCAGTTTTTTGGCACAAAGTGCAAGTCTTCGCTTGCAAGTTGTCTGACAACTTCAAACCCTACACTCACGATGTCCGCCACGGGCTGAGATTCGCATCGCTTCTTCGGGAACACCTTTGAGACCTTCCGTCGTCTTCTGCCTACTTGATTCTTCAGCTGCGATTGTTCATTGTCCTGGCATTCGCTAGTTCCTCCGCACGCTTCCCTGGTTTCCTTTAAAATCCTTTAAACACAACCCTGATTGTTCCGATTTGGAAGCAAAAAGCCGATCGAAGCCGCGGCTTGGACCTGAAGCTCTCCCGATCTCTCCAAGCCCGCGACCGCTAGACGTAGCCAGACTTGGCTAAGGCGGCGCGGCTCTTGCTGGCCATACTAGCCCTTGCGACCGGCAAGCGAGCTGGGCTCTCGGAGTTGGTACTGTAGCCCATCGTAGCATGGTCGCAGAGCCTCTGAACCTGGCAGTAGGTCGTACGTAGGATTCAATTTCGACTGCAAATGCGGGTTGACTTGTGGTGAAGCTTGAGAAACTGAGCTGTCAGCGTAGGGATCAAGCGGAGCCTGCCGGAAGGGGCTTTTCATTGCAGTCTCAACCGATGCTCTCGAGTCGAAAGCCAAGCCTTCTGTTACATACCGATGTGCAAAAACCAACGTACTATACATTCATCATGCCGTCCCCAAATGCGCTGCATTTGCTGAGCTGCAGTGCCCAACAAACCTTGAAGCCCGAAGCTCTCCAGCCCCTCCCTCTCTCACCTGAACTAAAAACGACTCCCGGCTCTTCACACAGCCGTCCCTTTGCTCCCAGATTTATACGCGCGAGCAGGCGCCGGGTGGTTGTACGGTTGAAGGTTTAGGGCTCAGTGAGTTTAGATCTCAACGAGATTCTATGTTGCCGACTCGCATTGTAGTACTCTGTCCAGCAGCTTTGTTTCGAATGTTTCGAGACGGAGCATGTGCGAGGACGCGGAGCGGATGTCGGAGGACACGCTTCGCAGCTTGGTGAAAGGCCTTCAAGGCAGGCGCCGCTGCCTTGCGAAAGCTGTGCGGAGCCCAAAACTCTAAACCCTAAACCGGGGCTTTTTGCGAGGCTTACCCGAGGAGGGGCTCCAGGCGCTGGGCGTGGCGGGTGGTTTGGGCGTAGGGCTCGGGTTTGGGATTTAGGGACATGTAGGGTTAGGTTAGGGTTTAGGGTTTAGGGTTTTAGGGCCTTTTAGGGTTAGGACAGAGTGTCGGAGTCCTGCCAGGCCATGTTGGAGGAAGTTCCCATCGACCGCCGGGCACCGAGTGAGCAAACCCAGCCTGTCGAACTCCACCGCCGTTGCAATCTCTGCAAGGCTGGCCCCCAAAATGGGGTTTCCGAAAGTAGGGGTACATTATTTTGGGGTTCTTATACTAAGGATCCTACTATTACTCTGACTTCCCTACCACGAGGAGCCTTGGCCCTAAACCCCAGAAGCCTTGGCCCTAAACCCCAGGAGCCTTGGGGCCTAAACCCTAGATTCCTTAGATGCAGACGGCGCTCCAGAAAGGCCATAGGAGCAAGTGCTCTCATCTCCCTGAACCCTAGAGCCCTTCAGCCCTAAATGTCCTTACACCCTAAACCCCCTAATCCCTAAACCCACAACCCCTCGTAAGCCCTAAACAGCCCTCAACCCTCAGCAGCAAGACTACTACGGTGGATGGACAAAATCTTGCATTTCCTTCAGTATAGTATAGTACCATAGTTCCCACAGTTTAGGTGTACAGGGCCATGCAGGTTTTTGTCCATGAATCAACATAAACCCTGAACCTTAAACCCCTAAACCCCTAAACCCTAAACCCTAAACCCTAAAAACCTTAAACCCCGCTAAGCCCCAAACGCTATGGAAGCATTCTGCCAAGGCGACGGCCTGATGCGAAGCAGTGCGGTTCTCCGATTTCTTCAGGATCGCGGGGTCAAAGACCAGGCCGGGGCTGGACTAGGGGTTTAGGGGTTTAGGGTTGAGGGGTTTAGGGTCTAGCAGTTTAGGGTTTTAGAGATTATGGGTTTTGGGGTTTCAGGGTTTAGGGTGTAGGGCTAGGGGTTTAGGGGTTTAGGGTTGAGGGGTTTAGGGTTTAGGGTTATGGTTAGGGCTTAAGAGGGGTTGTGAGTTCAGGGATAAGGGGGCTTTAGGGGTTTTGGGGTTTGGGGTTCTAGGGATTACGGGTTTTAGGGTTTCAGGGTTTAGGGTGTATAGGGTCTAATTAGAGGCTCGGGGTTTCAGGGGTTGAGGGGTTTCGGGTTTCAGGGGTTGAGGGGTCTAGGGCCGTTTAGGGGCATCAGGGTTGTACAATTTTTGGGTTGAAAAGTTTAGGGGACGTGTCAGCTGAGGCAACTTACGACCCAAACCCTCAAAGCCACGAGCCTGAAGCCCGAAACATCCAAAGGCCCTACAAGCCTTGAGCTAAGCCCAAACCGCAAAGCCTAAATCCCAAACCCCAAACCCTTACCCCAAACCCTATTCCCAAAAAGCCTAGACCTGCAAATCCTGAGCCCTAGACCCTAAACCCTAAACCCTGAGCCCTAAACCCTAAAGGCCCTGCCAGGCTCGCCGGAAGGAACGCTTCGCTGCGATGGAGAAGTCCTTCGTGGCTTCGCTGGAGGCCTGAGTGCAAGCAAGTAGCCTCAGTCGCGGAGTTGGTAGCCTACCTTGTTGGGTTTCGGGGTTCAGGGTTTAGGGGTTTGAGAGTTGAGGGGTTTAGGGGTTTGAGAGTTGAGGGGTTTAGGGGTTTGAGAGTTGAGGGGTTTAGGGGTTTGAGAGTTGAGGGGTTTAGGGGTTTAGGGTGTTGGGTTTGGTAGTGGCATAGCGAAAATCCTTTAACTATAGTCCTCTCGAATCCCAAAGGAGAACCTTCCCTTGCCCATGATCCTCGACAAGCGAGCAGCAGCTTTCTATGATCTTTTGCTACCTCCCGGACCGGAGCCCTAAACCCCGAAACCCTAAGCCCTAAACCCACCCGCCCCCTGAGGCTCAGGATGCTCAGGGCTCCCAGAAGCTTCTCTCTTTCCTGACCCCGGCAGGCGCAAGCGAGGGATCTCTTCCAGAAGCTGCGGCAGGTGCCCATCGGGCATCGGGTAGGCGAGTCGCTGCGAGTCCCCACGATTCCGGGTCGCGGTGATCGGATCTCCGGTTTGAGATATCCGAAGATCGAAGCATCGGAGATGCCTTGCTGTGACCGAGCTTAGGCCAAGGGGTTTCTGGGCCCTTCGGTCGGATGGCGGGTCAGGGAACTCCCCTGCGATTCACGATAATTTAAGCGGTTCTTGTGCTCGTTTGTCTGTCTTGACTATTGTGGTTGAGCAGCCGAAGAAGTTTTCAACGCAAAAACCAGAGGACGAACCCCCGAAGACCTACAAAACACCGCGATGCGTACGTTGTGGGCGTGCGATCAAGCTCAGGGCCCCCGCAAGACTAGATCCATGAGACAGCTCCGTCGTGAGGCCCGTAAGCCCTCATCTCTTTACCCCCCAAGATCTCGTAAGAAGGCCACAACCGACATGAGCAGGACGAGGGGATACAGGAGAGCTTGCCGACCACGACTACGACCACGACGAGCCTGCAGCCTCTAGCAATGGCCGTGAAAGAGGCGGCGAAGCCCTAAATCCTAAACTGTAAACCCTACTGAGCATGGGGGACCTAAGGGTGTGGCAGAAACGATGATGGAAGACCACGAAAGTGCTCGTGATGAACATGCTGAGAGTGGCTAAGGGTTGGTTATTTTCGAGTTGTGACATGCCAGAGGGCTGTCCTTTCTGGAGGGATTGTGTTTGCAGCTGTGGTCGAAAAGAGGGGTTCAACAAACTCTAAACTCTAAGCCCTATAAATCATGAACCCTAAGCCCTACAGAGGCAGCGTCGAAGGACGTGGGGGCGCTCGCAGCACACCGTGCAGCAATCCACAACCGTGCCGCGACGCTGCGATTCCTCCACGAGGCTCCCAAATTCCCAAGGAAGCCCTGAGCTCAAACGTTTTTGTGCATGTATGTAGACACACACACATATATATATATATATATACACATATACATATGTTTAAATCTGTAGTATGTATGTACATATATATATATATATAATACATCATGTATGTGTATATATATATATATATATATATATATATATATATATATAAGCCATAGCCATAAACATATTAGCCGCTCTGTGAGGTTGGTGTCAGCATCAATGCAACGGACAAGTTTGGACAGACTCCGGCGCATGTGGCAGCCAAGAGGGGAAACGTGGAGGCGCTGGAGGCTCTGCGCGAGGCATCGCAGCTGAGAGCATCCAAGCCTTGCCAGCTTTTGCCCGGCATGGTGTCTACAGTCTGCAGAATGCTGTAGCGTTCGACTTAAGCTGAAAAGGCTAATGCAAGACATCTCTTGGGGTTGCGGCTCCTCGTGCCAGGTTCCCCTAATTCTGAGCTGTCCGGGTGACGCGAAAAGAAGAGTGCAAGTGCGCAAGGCAGGAGCCGACATGGAGGCGGCGGACGACGCAGGGGACACGCCGCTGCATGCCGCTGCATTCTACTGCGAGGTGGAGGCAGTGCGCTTCCTGATCCAGGCCGTTGCGCCCTTCGACCTCACAATCCCCGCACGCCTTCTTCAATTATTTGAAGCACCCAGTGCCCTCGTTTAATGTACCCTATGCCTTATTTTGTCCAGGCAGGCGTGAACAAGACGGCAGTCAACAAGAACGGAAAGACTCCGGCCGACATCAACGCCTGTGCTTACGAGCAGGAAGTAGAGCTCCTCCTCCAGGTCTGTGAGTATTGAATTAGTTTAGTCATTATATAATCTATATTGATTTCAATTGTTCCATTGTTATTTCTTTTTGTCATCAGTATGATTGTTGTTATTATGGCTAGGACCAATCATTATTGCGATGAAGGAGAGCCGGCTACTTCAATCGAATCTTCCATTTCTGGCTTTCTGGGGGCTCATGTTGCTGTCAGCTCTGCAAGCCCTGACCTATTTCCTTTCCAAAAGCTCGTAGGAAGGTAATGTCAGAAGCTGGTCTGGAACCGAGAACGCTGTGAGCAGGACGAGGAGGCGGGGCAGAGCTTGCAGCCAACTGCGGGCACGAACACGACGAGCCTACAACCAGCCGTGACAAGCGTGCGGCTGCCGGCGATCTCTGTGAGAGAGGCCGCCGAGAAGGGCAACGTGTCGGCGCTTGCGGCGCACCGCAAGGCCCAGCCTAGCCAGGTGTTTTAAAGTGGTGTTTGCAAGAGCATGAGAACGGCTGCGAAAGTGCTGCTGTTGGAAGTTTTGATGGATTCGCAAAGCCTTTGACCCCTTTCCTTTTGCAGCTTCCTGCCGAGGCCGGGGTCGATTTGGGGGCCAAATTGCCCAGAGTCTTCGAGGAGATTGGATGGACGCCGGCGCACTATGCCGCAATCACCAACCATTCGTCGGTGCTGCGGTTCCTCCACGAGGCTCTGGATGTGCCCGCCTCCCTGAGCTGCCCTAAACCCTAAATCCTAAACCTTAAATCCTGAACCCTAAACCTGGATGTGCCCGGCGTCCCTGAGCTGCTCCCGAACCCCTTCCACCCGGCCTCCGTGAGGTTGGCGTTGACTTGAACGCGGCAACCGATAACACTTCGTTCCTTTGTCATAGTTGGGTAACAGTTTACATTTCTATGGGTACTTAAACCCCATAAGGGATAAGGATTTACATTTTTAATCCTATCCCAACCCTGAACCCCAAAACCCTAAACCCTAACCCTATCCCAACCATGAACCCTAAACCCTAAACCCATCTAAACCCTAAACCCTATCCCAAACCATGAACCCTAAACCCTAAACCCATCTAAACCCTAAACCCTATCCCAAACCATGAACCCTAAACCCTAAACCCATCTAAACCCTAAGCCCTATCCCAAACCATGGACCCTAAACCCTAAACCCATCTAAACCCTAAACCCTATCCCAAACCATGAATCCTAAACCCTAAACTCATCTAAACCCTAAACCCTATCCCAAACCATGGACCCTAAACCCTAAACCCATCTAAACCCTAAGCCCTATCCCAAAGCATGAACCCTAAACCCATCTAAACCCCAAACCCTATCCCAAACCATGGACCCTAAACCCTAAACCCATCTAAACCCTAAACCCTATCCCAAACCATGGACCCTAAACCCTAAACCCATCTAAACCCTAAGCCCTATCCCAAAGCATGGACCCTAAACCCTAAACCCATCTAAACCCTAAACCCTATCCCAAACCATGAATCCTAAACCCTAAACTCATCTAAACCCTAAACCCTATCCCAAACCATGAACCCTAAACCCTAAACCCATCTAAACCCTAAGCCCTATCCCAAAGCATGGACCCTAAACCCTAAACCCATCTAAACCCTAAACCCTATCCCAAACCATGAATCCTAAACCCTAAACTCATCTAAACCCTAAACCCTATCCCAAACCATGGACCCTAAACCCTAAACTCATCTAAACCCTAAGCCCTATCCCAAAGCATGGACCCTAAACCCTAAACCCATCTAAACCCTAAACCCTATCCCAAACCATGAATCCTAAACCCTAAACTCATCTAAACCCTAAACCCTATCCCAAACCATGGACCCTAAACCCTAAACCCATCTAAACCCTAAGCCCTATCCCAAAGCATGGACCCTAAACCCTAAACCCTAAACCCTATATCCCAAACATGGACCCTAAACCCTAAACCCATCTAAACCCTAAGCCCTATCCCAAACCATGGAAACCCTAAACCCATCTAAACCCTAAGCCCTATCCCTAAACCCTAAATGGACCCTAAACCCTAAACCCATCTAAACCCTAAACCCTATCCCAAACCATGAATCCTAAACCCTAAACTCATCCCTAAACCCTAAACCCTATCCCAAACCCCTAAACCCTATCTAAACCCTAAACCCTATGAATCCTAAACCCTAAACTCATCTAAACCCTAAACCCTATCCCAAACCATGGACCCTAAACCCTAAACCCATCTAAACCCTAAGCCCTATCCCAAAGCATGGACCCTAAACCCTAAACTCATCTAAACCCTAAGCCCTATCCCAAAGCATGGACCCTAAACCCTAAACCCATCTAAACCCTAAGCCCTATCCCAAACCATGGACCCTAAACCCTAAACCCATCTAAACCCTAAACCCATCCAAACCCTAAGCCCTATCCCAAATCATGGACCCTAAACCCTAAACCCATCTAAACCCTAAACCCATCTAAACCCTAAGCCCTATCCCAAAGCATGGACCCTAAACCCTAAACCCATCTAAACCCTAAGCCCTATCCCAAAGCATGGACCCTAAACCCTAAACCCATCTAAACCCTAAGCCCTATCCCAAACCATGGACCCTAAACCCTAAACCCATCTAAACCCTAAACCCATCCAAACCCTAAGCCCTATCCCAAAGCATGGACCCTAAACCCTAAACCCATCTAAACCCTAAACCCATCTAAACCCTAAGCCCTATCCCAAACCATGGACCCTAAACCCTAAACCCATCTAAACCCTAAGCCCTATCCCAAACCATGGACCCTAAACCCTAAACCCATCTAAACCCTAAACCCATCCAAACCCTAAGCCCTATCCCAAAGCATGGACCCTAAACCCTAAACCCATCTAAACCCTAAACCCATCTAAACCCTAAGCCCTATCCCAAAGCATGGACCCTAAACCCTAAACCCATCTAAACCCTAAGCCTTATCCCAAAGCATGGACGAGGTTCACTCCGGCCCACCTGGCAGCCGGCAGAGGCTACGTGGCCGTGCTTCAGGCGCTCCACGAGGCCCACGCAGGGTCTCTCCTCTTCTTCTCAGCTCTTTCTAGACCTTAAAGCCCTAACCCTAAAACATCCTAAACCCTAAAGCCTTATAGAACCCTATAAAGGAACCCCTTTAAGGGATTTCTACTGTCTGGTTCTTAGTAGGGAATGGGGGAATGGAGCATGGAGACTATTCTTGGGGATGACTACTATAGGAATGACGCTAAAGCCCTAACCCTACAACCCCTAAACCCTAAAGCCTTATAGAACCCTTTAAAGGAACCCCTCTAAAGGGAACCCTTTAAAGAAAGGAACCCCTAACTCTTTCTGAAAGGAATGGGAATCGACGCCGGGTTGAGGATTCTGGGTGTTCCCTTCTTGCGAGAGCTGCGAAGCTTTGAGAGCCACAGGCGTTCTTCGTTCTTCTGTGAGTGCTCGAGGCGGGTGCAAACATGGCGGCGGCAGACGCTGCGGGAGAGACCCCGCTGCACCTTGCAGCCAGGTCCGGCGAGGTCGGCGCGTTGCGCTTCCTGATCCAGGCCGTACATATACATATTATATAACATTATGTTCCAAGGTTTGACAGAGAAGAAACGGTTTAGGATCCAGGCCCTAAGCCCGTCGCGACCTCGATAGTTCGCTACATCTTTCGTCTTGTCGAGGTAGGGGCGAACCAGAGCGCCGTGGACTTCCTGGGAAGGACTCCGGCCGACCTTGCGTTCTCGAGCGGACAGCAAGAAGCGGTGGAACTCCTGAAGGCCAGGGGAGGGAAGGATAGGAGTTCCCGAAAATTAGGGTACCTCAAGTTATGAGGATTTAGGGTACTATATTGGGCCTACTATTTGGGGTACTATATTAGGGCCTACTATTACTCGGAAACTACCAGATAGGGCGGGGCGGGGTTGGAGGTCGAGCTCCTTTTTTTGGGAGGACACTGCCTCTCCCTGCGTTGGGAGATGTCTGTCATAGGAGTCATCGGGGGTTGAGTCTTCGCAGGAAGGAGCAAGGGGAGCGAGGGCAAGGGTCGGCGCCAGTTGCAACTAACTGGATTTTCTAGAGTTTTCGACAAGCCCACGCGCTGAAGGCCTGTGATCTAACTGCCTTTCGTTGCTGCCTTGACAGCTGTGGCTTTGACGACGTGCCCTCTTTGCCTGGTCTTGACCTCTGCAAGCCTTGACATCGCAATACAAATCTGAGCTCAAACCCTACTGTAAACCCCGAAGTGAACTCCAGAGTCTGAAGGTCTGAGCCTCGAAACGCAAATCAACAGAAATAAGCAATGGACATGACATAGGTTGTGATTCCTCATTGATCTACTTCTACGTTCGCTGTTGCTGCGAAGCCTCTACAAGCACCCCTCAGCTACCCAGTATTACACCATTAGGGACTTGGGAGGCGCTGGTAAACCCTAAACCTTAAACCCTCCTAAACCCTAAACCCTAAACCTTAAACCCTAAACCCCTAAACTCCAAACCCCAAACCCTAAACCCTCCGACCCCAGGCCTCAATCACCACCACGCCGGCCGGCAGCTGGGACAGCACATATGGAAATTTCGAGGCCGAGCGGCGCCGGGAAAGGGTGGGTTAGGTTAAGTCTTCCTTTCCCTAGCCGCATTGGCCTATCTAAGACAGCAGCCTTTGTCCCCAAGATCCGCAGTTGCATCCGAGAATCCTAGGCCTGACTGCTTTAGAAGGCAGATGGGCACACCATCATGGCAGAGCTCGTGCCCTCTGTGTTGTCATCTTGTCAGACTCGGTGCCTCAGCCCTGAAGTCTCGGTTCATGGCATTGGCCTCCGTACCCCTGGCGGATCCAACCTGAAGCTCCTTAAGCCGGCCTCCCCACAGCAGGCCTACGAGGACGGCACCACGGCGGAAGTCGCCGCCGCCAGCACCAACATCACGGCCGTGAGAGAGGCAGCCGAGAAGGGCAACGTGTCGGCGCTTGCGGAGCACCGCAAGGCCCAGGTCCCAGGTCCCAGAGACTCCAATATCCCTTAATTAAGGAATATTCCTTAAATCAGATAAAGGATCCTATTATAATTTAAGGTATATTCCTTAATTAAGGGATATTGGAGTCTCTGGGGTGTTTTTCAAGAATGCTTTCAAGGATGTTCCCATGGCGCCAAGTCTGTGCTTCGAGGATCAAGTTTTCGGAGCGGGCGAAGGGTGCCCTTTTGCAGACCTGCGTGCCGAGGCCGGGGTCAACTTGTCGGCCCCCGTCGATGAATACGGGTTGGGCCTCACCCCGGCGCACTATGCCGCAATTTACAACCGTTCGGCGGCGCTGCGGTACCTCTCTTACCAGGCTCCGGGAGCATCCTCTCTCTCTCTCTCTCTTTTCTCTTTCTCTGAGCTCCCGAACGTCCCGCCCTCCGCGAGGTTGGGGTCGACATCACTGCGACGGACCATGAAGGAAGATCCGCGGCCTATTGGGCAGCCGAGCGTGGAAAGCTGGAGGCCCTGGAAGTGCTGCGCGAGGCCTCCCAGCTTGGAGCAGTAGCAGACTCGAGTGGCATAGTGGAACTCCGTAGAGTCTTTCCGCGCTTTAGCCTTTAGTTGAAGAGATTAGCAGATGGTGTGTCTTCGGGTGGCGGTTTGCCAGGGTGTAGTTCTGACTCTTAGGGTGCAGACAAAGTGCAAGTGCGCAAGGCAGGAGCCGACATGGAGGCGGCGGACCATAGAGGGGACACGCCGCTGCACGCCGCCGTACTCCAGTGCCAAGTGGATGCAGTGCGCTTCCTGATCCAGGCCGTTGCGCACTTCGACCTCAGAACCCCCACACGCCTTCAATTTTCTTTGGTGCTTCTCTCACCAGATGTCTGTCGGGTACAAGAAGGGTCCGCCAACCTCGTCTCCCTTCTTCCGCATGCCCCGTAGTGCAGGCAGGCGTGAACAAGACTGTTGTGGACAAGGAGGGCAGGACTCCGGTCGACATGAATGCCTGTTCGTGGGAACCGGAAGTGGCGTTCCTCCTCCAGGTCAGGAAGGGAAGTGAGAGGAGCGAGGGGGGGAGGGGCAAGGACGAGAGGGCTCCGAATTGTCACAGCCTGGGTTTTCTTAGGATTTTGGACAGGGCCTGTTTCCCCAAAGGCCTCTGACCCAACGCCCATGGGCTCCTGCCGTGCATGGCTGCCTTGGTTGCTGTGGCCCTACTTGGTCTGTAGCTCTCTACTGGTTGTTATCGCAATCATACATGGCTGGGGTCCCTTGTTGGGGACCTTAAATATTAGGGGCCGCATCATATGAAGGACCCAGAAAGGGACAATAATTTTGACAACCACCCAGATGTAAGCTGTTGGCGCTGCTTGTAGCCCGCAAAGCCCCAGCCTCTTCTCTGCTGCTCCTCTAGGTCCCAAGTCGACGCGGCTCTCGTCGTAAGCTATCCAAAAAGGGGAACTTCAGACTCTGCAGATACCTCAGCCTCGAACCATAAATCAACGGTCCTTTGGACATAAGCACGGGAAGATAACACTTGGGGTTTAGGGTTTGGGGTTTAGGGGTTAGGGTTTAGGAGTGTTCTTGAGGGCTACACGGTTGTCAGTTGTGATCCCTCATGGATCTTACTCTTCGTTCATTTCCTGATTCGAAGCTTCAACCTGCGACAACCGGTCTCCCGACGGCAGGCCCAAATCACAACCACCACGACCGCCAGCTGGGGCAGCACCAGTGGATATTTGGAGGCCTTGGCGCCGGAAAGGGGTAGCATACGCGCTTTTGATGTGAATCTTCTTGTCGTAGACATCCTATTTGTAGCCGCCCTGACGGTGTATGGGTATTGTCAGCTAGCAGCCGGTAGAGCTGTTCGTTGTGCTGCTTTTGTAGAGACCCACACACGGAGTTTTTTCCATTCTTCTTCTCGTGTTCGATTGCTTTTCAAAGCTGAAGGAAGCAAGTAGACTTAAACCCTATACCCTGAACCCCAGAATATGCCAACACGAAACGGGCGCAGAAGAACAAGCAGAACAACGCAAGGACAACAGAAGAGATATCAAGAGGATCAAGAAGGACCAACAGTGGTCTGACATAACTCGGAAGCTTAGGTCTTCAACGAGTCTACAACCTCCATGGCCGGAGAGTTCGAGGCGTTGGTGCTGGGAAGGGGTGGCTTCAGCACTTTCTCGTGAATCTTCCTTTGCTAGCCGTCCTGGCTCCTCTGACGGTACACCCCTTTAGGCCATTTCGGTCCCAAGACCTGCAGGTGCGCATGAGGCTTGAAATAACTCCGTAAGCTTGTCTTTCGAGCTTCCCGCGGCGAACTCGACCTGAAGATAAACAGCTTCTGCGGTAACCACAAGTAAGTATCCACCACGGCGGAAGTGGCCAGGGCCACCGCCAACACCACCGAAAAAATCCCTGGCATTGGCGCGGTAAGGGCTATTTGGCATTGAATACAACGACGGGTTCAAAAACACCAGCAATCCATGACTATTCCATATCCTTCTTTCCCTTAACCGTTCCCGCCTGTCTAGGCACAAGTTAGCGTCAACATGTGGCCTCGTTTCGCCTCGATCCAGAATCCATAACTTCATTCTCCCCGATGCTCCTACAGATGCTCAGCTGCTCCTACAGATGCTCAACAGTAGAAGAGATGCTCAACTTCCGAACGAGCAGAAGAAAGTGTAGGACAGATGCTCAAATCGCGAACAAGCAGAGGAAACACTAGAACAGAGGCTCAACGTCGAACAAGCAGAATAAGAGCAGTTGAGCTCTGCCAAGGCCTCGAAGTTTCCGCTGGTGCCATATCCGTCGTACGCCTGATATGAAGATTCTGGACTTCGGCCCCCTTACATGAGGTTCAGCAGGAAATGCCAGCGACATGACAACACTGGAAAAGAATGTGAAAAGGACAAGAGATTGCACGCCAAGTTCATGCACGGAGCCGCCGAGACAAGCGTGAGGGAGTTGGAGTCTTGTTGTGTACGTCTCATCATAAGAAGCGCGTTCGGTGGCCTCTCTCTAGGCCTGCAAAAGAAGGAACTCAGCTTGCCGATGCAAAAGGCCTGTTAAGTACGTCGATATGCTTTGTCGGTCTTGGTCTGCGTCGGCTGCCGTTTCGCCCTGAAGCTCCTTAGTCAAAGCGGCCTCCCGATACCAGGCCTACGACGGCATGACCACCGGAAAGTTCGAGGCCTTTGTGCGGGAAAGGGGTAGAGAGCCCTGAAGCTCCTCAGTCAAAGCGGTTTTGCGATACCAGGCCTACGACGGCATGACCACCGGAAAGTTCGAGGCCTTTGTGCGGGAAAGGGGTAGAGAGCCCTGAAGCTCCTTAATCAAAGTGGTTTCGCGATAACACGCCTACGACGGCATGACCACCGGAAAGTTCGAGGCCTTTGTGCGGGAAAGGGGTAGAGTGCCCTGAAGCTCCTTAATCAAAGTGGTTTCGCGATAACAGGCCTACGACGGCATGACCACCGGAAAGTTCGAGGCCTTTGTGCGGGAAAGGGGTAGAGAGCCCTGAAGCTCCTTAGTCAAAGCGGTTTTTCGATACCAGAGCCCTGAAGCTCCTTACCAAAGTGGTTTTTGTGCGCCCTGATCCTTAGTCAAAGCATACCAGGCCTACGACGGCATGACCACCGGAAAGTTCGAGGCCTTTGTGCGGGAAAGGGGTAGAGAGCCCTGAAGCTCCTTAGTCAAAGCGGTTTTGCGATACCAGGCCTACGACGGCATGACCACCGGAAAGTTCGAGGCCTTTGTGCGGGAAAGGGGTAGAGAGCCCTGAAGCTCCTTAATCGCGCGATAACAGGCCTACGACGGCATGACCACCGGAAAGTTCGAGGCCTTTGTGCGGGAAAGGGGTAGAGAGCCCTGAAGCTCCTTAATCAAAGTGGTTTCGCGATAACAGGCCTACGACGGCATGACCACCGGAAAGTTCGAGGCCTTTGTGCGGGAAAGGGGTAGAGAGCCCTGAAGCTCCTTAGTCAAAGCGGTTTTTCGATACCAGGCCTACGACGGCATGACCACCGGAAAGTTCGAGGCCTTTGTGCGGGAAAGGGGTAGAGAGCCCTGAAGCTCCTTAGTCAAAGCGGTTTTGCGATACCAGGCCTACGACGGCATGACCACCGGAAAGTTCGAGGCCTTTGTGCGGGAAAGGGGTAGAGAGCCCTGAAGCTCCTTAGTCAAAGTGGTTTTGCGATACCAGGCCTACGACGGCATGACCACCGGAAAGTTCGAGGCCTTTGTGCGGGAAAGGGGTAGAGAGCCCTGAAGCTCCTTAATCAAAGTGGTTTCGCGATAACAGGCCTACGACGGCATGACCACCGGAAAGTTCGAGGCCTTTGTGCGGGAAAGGGTAGAGAGCCCTGAAGCTCCTTAATCAAATTGGTTTCGCGATAACAGGCCTACGACGGCATGACCACCGAAAAGTTCGAGGCCTTTGTGCGGGAAAGGGGTAGAGAGCCCTGAAGCTCCTTAATCAAAGTGGCTTCGCGATAACACGCCTACGACGGCATGACCACCGGAAAGTTCGAGGCCTTTGTGCGGGAAAGGGGTAGAGAGCCCTGAAGCTCCTTAGTCAAAGCGGTTTTGCGATACCAGGCCTACGACGGCATGACCACCGGAAAGTTCGAGGCCTTTGTGCGGGAAAGGGGTAGAGAGCCCTGAAGCTCCTTAATCAAATTGGTTTCGCGATAACAGGCCTACGACGGCATGACCACCGGAAAGTTCGAGGCCTTTGTGCGGGAAAGGGGTAGAGAGCCCTGAAGCTCCTTAATCAAAGTGGTTTCGCGATAACACGCCTACGACGGCATGACCACCGGAAAGTTCGAGGCCTTTGTGCGGGAAAGGGGTAGAGAGCCCTGAAGCTCCTTAATCAAATTGGTTTCGCGATAACACGCCTACGACGGCATGACCACCGGAAAGTTCGAGGCCTTTGTGCGGGAAAGGGGTAGAGAGCCCTGAAGCTCCTTAATCAAAGTGGTTTCGCGATACCATGCCTACGACGGCATGACCACCGGAAAGTTCGAGGCCTTTGTGCGGGAAAGGGGTAGAGAGCCCTGAAGCTCCTTAATCAAATTGGTTTCGCGATAACAGGCCTACGACGGCATGACCACCGGAAAGTTCGAGGTCTTGGCGCCCGCAAGGGGTACGGGTAGTTTTGCCATTTTCCGTGAGTTTCCTAAATGTCGTCCCGGCTCTACCAGCGCCAAGATCCGCTGTGCCCGAGGCCTGACAACCGAACAGAACTCCGGCTTCGTCTGCGTACAAAAAGGTGCCGAGACGGCGGGCTCTGCCAGGGCTACTTGAGGTCTTCTTCACTGCCGAGCATCGTTGGGATGGTTTGCTTTTTCAAGGCCGCGACATGCGGACAGGGAGACTTGGCGGATGTTGCCTTCAGGTTAGCAAGTCTCCGAGACTGTGCCATTTAGGGGCTTACAGCTTCTATCGACAGCGAGGGGGGTCCTCAGCAAATCGGAACCCTTGTGGAAACGATTCCTGGCATCGTCTGCCGTGCCTTGTCGTGACGTCCGGGGATCACGCGAGAAGCCTAAACCCTAAACTCTAACCCCTAAAGCCTAAGCTCTAAACCTTAGTTCCACTCAAGAGTTGTCGGAGCTCGTCTGACAGTTTTTGGAGCCAAGGTTGGAGGAGCGGTCGGTAGCGCCGTATATTCCCTAAACCCTAAACCCCTATTCTGGCTTCTCCGCAGCATGTTGCATCGAGTGCAAAGTTGTTCGCCAACTCCGAACTCCACGAGCCGAATGTCTGCGACGGGCTGAGACTGCTTACTTGGAGGATCATGGGACTTAGTAACTTGGGTTACTAGTAAGGTAACTATACTTATAACTACTTATAACCGCAATTGAAGTACTTATAACCATACTTACTAAGTCCCACGATCCTCCAAGTATACAGTACTATATCATGTTATATCATATTGCATAATATCCTGGAGTATATCTGATGCATTCAGAACACCACGGTGCTCCTTCAGGAAAAGCGTCCCAGACTCTTTGTTGTCTTGAATCTTCGGCTGGAAACGATTGAAGCACGCCTATAACCCGTGTTCAGGTCCCTGTGTAAAGGTTTTCGGAATTTTTCTCTTGCTGGCTTCTTCCTCGCTGTCGTTGCATCGTGCTTACGGAACCAAAAACCCTAAACCGCTTGAAGATGGTTTTGCTGAGGAGGCCTTCGGTTCAAGCGAAGATGACCCAAGCCGCTATGCTAGGCACAGAAGAATCTAATATAGGGGCCTAAACATGTACCAATACCAGTATAGATCCCTTATAGACCCCTTTAAAGGGTCCTTTTAAAGGAACCTTATTTTGAATTGTTCAGGCCCCTATATTATAGTGCCCTTATAGATCCCTTATAGACCCCGTTAAAGGAACCCTGTTTTGAATTATTAAGGCTGTTATGTTCATGAGGTGGCCTTTCTGGTCTTCCTTTTTCTGGCAGTGGCTGATGGCAAGCGCGCTGGGTTCTCGGAGCTGGGCAGCGAGCCTCAAGCCCTAAACCACTAAACTCCTAAACTCTTACAGCCCCAAACTCCTAAACTCCGAAAGCCCTACACCCCTAAACTGCTAAACTCCTAGACCCCTGAATATCGGGCTGCAGGATAGAGGTGATGCTTACAGGATAGAGTTGTGGCACATGACGGCACGTCGGCGGGGTGCCTTGCGACGTAATGCAGGTTGTCAGGGTTCTGCGGATCTTGCTTGCGCAGCCGAGCTTGCAGCAGAGGAACAGGGCAGGAAGCTGGCACGTGTGAAGCGATCCCTTCGCACCCAAAAGAGTCGAAAGTCTGAAAACTCGTCCCGTGCCCATATGCTTTGCTGCTCAAGCACAAACCTAAACCCTACCTTGCCCCTGAGTATCCTGCCTGTTTATGTTTCCTTAAAATGATTTCCGGTCCTTAAAAATGTAGGTTCATCAGGGTCCAGGTAAACCTTACGGCCCGGAAGCCTGAAGCCATGCTCCACGAAGCCGCCGCCCCCCAAGCGCCCTCAGATGCCCACGGCAAATCCTGAAAGCCCTAGACAACTCGATGTAGGATACAAAAAGACGCCACAAGGGACTCTAGTTTAGAGAACTACCCGAATGGTTCCTTACTCGTTTTCACACCCTAAACTCTGAACCCTTAACCCTAAACCCGAAACCCTGCACCCTAAACCCTACACCCTAAACCCTGAACCCCAAACCCGACCTTAACCCGGAACAACCTACCTTTTCAAGGACTTATATAAAGAAATCATGATAAAGAGCCCTGTTTAAAGGTAGGTTATTCAGGCTTAAGGTACACCCTAAACCCTAAACCCTAAACCCTAAACCCCAAACCCTAAACCCTAAACCCTAAACCCTAAACCCCAAACCCTAAACCCTAAACCCTAAACCCTAAACCCTAAACCCCAAACCCGAAACCCCACAATTTCGGCAGAGACCTTTGGGTTTGGATTCGGATTTGTTCTCGGCCCTGGGTTGCAGGTGTTCTGAGGAGCCCTCCCTTACTTACAAGGGTCTTTAAGTTTCTTAGATTCTATTGTTTCAAAAACGTTGTTGTGGTTTTCGTATTTTTTGATTTTTCAGGCTTTTTCGGGGTCTCGTTGAAGGGTTTTGGGTTCGTCGAATTCGAAGTTGAGGCAGCAAGATTCAATTCAATAGCCTCTCTTTCGGCTGCAGGCCCTGAGTAAAACCTTGCGCTAAGAATCGGCGCGCCATCTTTGGTTTCAGTGCGAGCAACCCTGAATGCCCTCAGCCCCAAGCCCTAAGCTCCAAACCTAACCAAAGCCGAAAACCTTGAACCCTGCACCAGTCGCCAAGGAACCCAGTAAGGGAGCAGTCCCAAAATCCACGGCCCCATCAAGGAACCCTTGGGCTACCCTTACCGACACTCTATGCCTGCAAATGGGTAACTCTCTAAACTACTGTCCCTTTCAGGCTTTCTTGTAGTAGGGGCGCCGTAGTAAGTTTAGGGTCTTGGGATTCCGCGTTTAGGGTTTAGAACACCGGGTAACAAACAATTAGGATGTATGACAAGATAGGTAATTGACACCAGCAAGGGTAATCTGAGCGCTCTCAATCATCACTATTCTAGAATCATCATGGAAGTAAGAAGAAAACTGTATGGTTGTCCTAAACCCAAAACTTAGCCTATGTCTCTAAATTCTCAAGACCCAATTCCGAAACCCTGAAGCCCTAAATTCTCAGCAGTAAATCTTAGACCCCCCAATTGCTTGTAGCCCCTAAAAGCGACTTCCTCATGTTGTCGGCTGGCCGGATCGTGAAGTGCGTGGTGATGTCGGCTGCAGCCGTCGGCTTGGTTGCGGTGTGCAGCAATCTGAAGGCTTCTGACGCAAAATGTACGGTTGATGGATAACTTCCTTGTTTTGGGCAGCTGATGCGTTTGTCTGTGAGTAGTGGTTTTGGATGTGGAAGGGAAATTGCCAGGGTCGCACCACCCCAGCGAGCTCCCTTTCCTGCTTGCATGGTGGCCGTTTAGGGTTTTAGAGTTCAGGGTTTAGGGATCCTCGATGGTGGGGATGGGATCCTTGAGTCTGAAGGCTCTTGAGCACGGCAAAGACGCGAACTTGGTCTCGGCGGCGGAGGCCCTAGTGGAGGTTTCCCTGCTGAGCCCTTCGAACTCGAGCTCTGTGGCTCCTGGCGGGAGCTTCGCAACTTCGCCCAGCGTTTTGGCTACCACGAGGGCTCCCGAGCTTTGGACAACCCTTGCAGAGACTGGGACGACCCCGAAAAGCCCGCGAACTCCTGGGAGCAAGGCGGACACCATCGCCGTGATGTTGGCCATGCAGCGCTCGGGGACGAACTTCCTCGCCGTAGAGCTGAGCCGACACCCCTGCATCGACTTGCAGCACGAACTCTTCAACGACCTGAAAAAGGCAGGCTTCCCATGGAGCCTGAAGTTGCGCCAGAAGCTCGAAACGCGTGTGTGTGTGTGTGTCCTGTTTTCTCCTTGCGGTTTTGCAGAAGCCATAGTTTCGGGTCTTGTGACTGTTTTTGAAGTGCCTCGGCTTTTGGAGAAACGAGGAAAGTCCTGAAACGATTTCTCTTCCTGGACTTCGACGCTTCTGCCATTGCACACTTTCCGGAGAACACCCAGGACATTCTGAGCCGTTCCCTCGAGTCTTTCAAGGCTGGAATCCCATGAATCCTGTTCTTCCATGCCGAACGCTAAGACCCTCAACCCCAAGCTGTCAACATGTAATCCTCAATCCGTAGCTTCCCGAAATAATTTCTTCTTGGCAGGGCTCAACAACTCAATCCTAAACGATCGCCACCGCCACCATGGTGCAAGCCCTCGACCCCGTTTAAATCCCCGCACCCTAAATCCAAGACTTTACCCAAAGCTTGGAAGGCCTGACGGCGCTGAACCCCAAGCCCTCAACGCCCGACCGACAAGCAACCCTGCAGACCCGTATACAGGACTTACACAACAAAAGCCTAAAGACCCATATAGTCAGACTTTGAACACTTGCAACACAAGCTACAGCAAAATGCCACAGCTCCTTCAAAAACAAAAGGCAACAAACCGTGTAAGGGCGCGGGTAAAACCAGGCCGGTGTCCCAGTGAGGGGCTTCAACTGGAAGCTGAACCAGGAGTCGATCCGCAGAGTGTTACAAGGGTTCTCAAGGGGTATACGAGTTCTCTAAAGGAATGCAGGTAATGTAGGAACCTGATTAAGAAACCCTGGCCCTATAAACCCCAATGTGTTAGGATTCATTTAAGGGACACCAACACAGACCTAAGGTTTCTTAATCAGGTTCCTACAGTACTTTCAAGGGTTTCGTTCAGCGCTCCTTTCAGGTTGCTAGAAGGGTTCCTATAAGGGTTTGTGCTAGGGCTTTTGTAAAGGTTTCTATCCGACTTTTCGTAGGAGTTGTTATAGGGGCTCTATACGGGTTGGGCTTTCTGCAAGGAGGTTTTGGGGTTTAAGGATTTAGGGTTTCGGTTCTTTTCAGGGTTATAAGGGTTGTAGAAGGGTGTTCCGGGTCCGGGTTTAGGCGAGTTTGGGCTGTGGGTTTCAGGTGTGGGGAACCTTGAAATCCTCAACCCCACATCCTTGAGGGGTTCAACTCCTAAAGACTCTCTCCGGAGAGAATTAAGCCCACAAACCGAAGCCTACAAGCCTCAGGTTAAAAGATTTTTAGTCGTTCCTAGATCCGAAACCGTGATCCTCAAAAGCGGAACCGTAACTAAACCCTCAGTGCCAAACCGTAGAACCGAACACCTCCTTATAACAGCCTCATTGAACCCATATTCAACCCTAATAAATCATCTAGAAACCAGTGATACGATCCTTGCAAAACTCTGTAACACTTCGAAACATCCTCACGAAGCTCCGTAAAGCCACAAAGGCCTTTACCAGACGTATCTGAGAAACTCTTCGGCACCACCCTATAGGCTTTCAACCAAGCAGCTCTTCAAAACACCCGAAAAACCCCCTGAACCCTAAACCCTAAACCCCAAACCCCAAACCGTAAGTTAACAAATGCGAAAACCTGGGTCAGGACTTCCTGCCTGCCTGGGGGACCTGGTTGCCAGACCCTTTGGCCCATCTCCAGGGGAAGCTTGAGGTTTACCGGCAGTTTAGGGTTCGGGTTTCTGCCTGCGGTTTGGCAGCTTTTGTGTTGTGGCTTCCTTCAGGGTTTTGCTAGCGGTTCTACAACGTCCGTGAAAGGGATCTCAACACACAGTGACACACACAGTGGAGTTGGCTTGGGCGTGTCGAGTTTCGGGAAGTTTGGGATGTTAAGGGATTCTAGGGTATCAGGGTTTTGGTAAGTTTGCTGAGTTTAGGAGATAAGGAATTAGGGATTTAAGGCTTAAGGTCGAGGCTTTGGGATTTGTGGCTCTGGGCTGTGGGCTTTGGAGACTTCTGGGATGTAGGAAGGCAGTCTGGGATGTAGGAAGGCAGATGGCTTGAGGCTTGATCCTCTTGAAAGGGCAAACCCTAATCTTCCCTGGATATAGCCCCCAACACCTACCTTTTCAAGGACATAAGCCTTAAGGCCTTATCCCTGGCCCTAGACACCCAACACCCTTTACAACAACCCAAGCTTGTGCTAAGGACCTGATGGTAAAGCATCGCGTCCGCCTGATCTGGGTGCAGCGGAGCCTTGGTTATCCAGCGAGGACATACTTTCTGGTTTTTGTTGGCATTTTTCGTTTCGTTGCGTTGCAGGTCTATCTTTCCATTGCAAGCCAGTTTGGCGCATCATATGTTCATTTTAGGTAATTTGATGTTTGTGATTATTGTAATGTTACTACGGGGTCTAGAGTTGAAGTTTACGGCTTTTAGGAAGATTTAAGGAGCTGACCTGGGAAATCCAGGAAGCTAAACCTTAAACACCCAAACCCTAAACTCACCTAAGCCCGAAACTCTCAACCTTGAGACCCTAATCCTAAACCGAGCCTAAGTTTGGGTGCTAAGGTCGCATGCATACTTGGAGGATCATGGGACTTAGTAAGTAAGGTTATAAGTACCCTAATTGGGGTTATAAGTATAGTTACCCTAATTATAACCCTAGTTACTAAGTCCCATGATCCTTTAAGTATCGGAGCCCTGAAACTTTAAGCCAGACCCCGGCCCACCCGACCTTGGCCGATTTGTTTGGGGACATTCCACAATGCTGAAAGCACTAATGGACGGTTTAGAAGTTTAGGACCAGTTTAGAGTTTAGGCTTTACGATACCCATAAGCGCCAAATCCTGATAAAGCAGGGGTCTGCAGCGAGGAACAATTTGCTGCGCCGCATCTTCTCAAACCAGGCGAACAAGAAAACTCGCACATGGGGCACCACGAACGACGCTGGGCTCACTTGGCCGTTCTTAAAAATAGTTCTTAATTATGGTGTAGCTGCTTCACATAGAAGCCAGCAAAACATACAAATTTCCCGTCGACCGAGCCTCCTCCTCTTGGTCTTGGAATAGCATTACTAGATATCTTCTGTTTTAACCACTGCTCTGGGCTAGTGTGACTAGCAACCTCAACCCCTTCCCCCCCCCCGAATCCAACGCCCGAAACCCAAACCCAGAACACAAAACCTCAATCAAAAGCCCTCAAACCGCCCCTAACCCCAAACCCAAGTTCTAAACCCGTCCCAAATCCATTCCCTAACCCCACACCCAAACTCTAAACCCTAAGCCCCATACCCAAACCCCAAACCCAAAACCCAAACTCTAAACCCTGAGCCCCAAACCCGAACCCCAAATCCAAACTCTAAACTCCAAGCCCTAAGCTCCAAACCCGAGTCCCATGGAGCTGTTGGTGTCCGACTCAAAGCCCCAGCCCACCTTGAGGAGAGCGTGGCGAAGACCGTCGGCTCTGTGAAGGTGGTCTTTTAGGGGTTAAGTTGCTTACGGTTTGGGCGTTTAGACTTCTAGAATTTATAGAGTTGAGGGTTTAGGGTGGAGGGTTTTGTTTTTTTAGGGTTTTGCGGTTTGAGGGTTTTAAGGTTACGGATTCAATTTATTCCGGCTTACGATAAGGGTTTCTATTGCAAGGGTTCGTTTAAGAGTTTTGGCTGTTGGCATGTTGTAGGTGTTTTTGCATAGTAGAGTTGGGTGGACGGTTTTCGGGTGTCCTAAACCCTAAACCCTTGGTGATAGTGATTGTTTCAGGTTTGCAGCTTTAGGGCTCAGGTGGCGCCCTAAACCCAAACCCTATATTCTAAACCCTAAGTTTTGAACCCTAAACCCTAAGCCCTAAACCATGTCGTTGTTTCGGCCTCTCGCTCTCTCTTCTTGGTTCCACTGAAGGTGCAGCTTGATGAGGCCACGATCCTGGAAGAGCTTCGGAAGGAAGAGGCTGCCGACGTAGGCTAGGGTTCAGGGCTCAGTGCTGCAGTTCCCGGCATCCGGCGCTAAACCCAAAACCTAGGCCCGCAGAAGGCTTTTTCTTTTAAAGCAAAAGCACCCGAATTCCACGAAGTCTCTGGAGTTGTGGGATGTTGAGGCTTTCTCCGAGCTCAAAACCGTTAGTGCGAAATCTAGAGTCTGCATCAGCTGGGTTTCGGAGCAGCAATGTGTCTAGCTTCATGCCACGCTCTTGAAACCCTATAATCTAGACCCGAAACCCGAAACTCCAGACCACGGCTCTTGCGGTTGCAAAACCCCGAAGCCCTCATTGCCACGCAAAACTCGCCTTAAACCCCAAACCGAACCCCCTATCCCTTATACCCTACACCCGTACACTAACAGTAAAGCACTAATCTAGGTGGCCCTTTGGGAAACCGAGGTGCGTAGCCTTTTGGAGGTGTGTATTCATAAATACTTCTGGGGGCCTGTACCTTCCACCCAGTACCCCTACACCCCGAAGATCGAACCCCAGCCTGACCCGAAACCCAAGCTCCAAACTGAAAGCATTTAAACCCTAAGCCCTAAACCCTAAGCCCTAACCCTAAACCCTAAACCTTAAACCCCCAAACCCCCAAACCCCCTAACCCTGCGGGTTGAAGCAAAACTATCCTAGGCCTTAGGCGTCCGCCCTTGAACTTGAACCGTTTTAGGCTTGGCCTTGTCGGGCAAGATAGGGGTTAGCATGCTTTTGCTGCGGTTTCATGGCGCATATTCGGGTTTCACACGGTTTTGTAGGGCATCATGGTTTGCACAGCGTGCTTCATAGGGTTGTATGGGGGTCGGTATAGCGGTTACTGCAGAAGTTTGAGTAGTTCCATAGAGTTCTTGGTACAGGAACTCCGAAACTGCAATCCGATCATTCATGCCCAAGGAACCCTGGTACTAAGCCCTCAACCCTCATACACCCTGAAGCCTGAAATGCTACATCCTAAAACCTCAATGTCCGTAAATTCTGCATCCCCAGATCAAGAATCCTAAAGCAATCCTAGAGCCCTAACCCCCAGAGCTTGCAGGAGAAAGTCAAAAAAGCAAAGCGGGTCGTCAAGGAAGCAGCTCGGCTCTTCTTGCTAAGGAGCATAACTTGATAGGGGCTGACTGCGGAATTTTCTTCGGGTTAGGGGTTCAGGAGTTCACGGCTCGAGGGCTTCGGGGGTTTAGCTTCGGCATTCAGGGTTTGAGGCAGGGGTTTAGGTTTTAGGGTTGTGTGCTGCTGCATCCCCATAAACACAACACGAAGTAGCCCAGCGCCCTTATACTCCATACCCTAAACCCCAAGTCCTAACTAAAGCCGAAATGCTAATTCCTAAACCTTGAGTCCTAAACCCTAAAGCCTAAACCCTAAACTTCTAAAATCCTGATAAAGAGCCCAGGCAAAGCGCCGGGGCCTTCGCGTGCTGACGGTGTATTACGAGAATGTCAGTGAGAGCCTTTCCGAGCTGAGGAGCCAAGGGTGCAGAAGGTCACGGGTTTAGGATGTAGGGTTTAGGAGTTTAGGGTCTATATGGGGTTAGCGGTTAGGGTTGTCTTTAGTGCTCTTAGGAATCAGTTGTTTATTGCATCTGTAATGAAATTCCAAGAGCTTGTCGTCAACAGTATTGTTTTATGCTGCCAAGGCACTTAAGAAGTTGTGAGGCGTTGTAGAAGGGTTTATCAGTTTTTATGGGGGAGCTTGTCGGGGCTCTGCAAGGGGGGCTTTGCAGAGCTTTATAAGGGTTTAAACTGATCGGTGGAAAGGTTTCCAAGGTTCAGAGTTTAAGGTCTGGGGTTTACCTTATCCCCAAAAGCCACCCTACGAGTAGAAAACACACCCGAAGCCCTACAGTAGAAGCCCAAAAGTTGGAAACCCAATAGCCTAACTCCTTAAGAGTAATGTATAGGGGATCCCAGCACTATTTGGCCTTAATCCGGTTTCCAACTTTATGGAGTTTACTGTAATCTGTTAACCCTAAAACCTTTCATCTCAAACCCTTAAGCCTTTGTGAGGAGGTAGGCTTTCTTAGTGGTTTGTTCAGGGTTTCAGGTGTCGGGTTCCGTACCTACACCATGCTTTGGGTACGGCCCTCACTCAGTAATAGTTGAATAATTTTCATAATATAGACATATGACGACCTGAATAGTAGACTTATCATAGACGCTTACTGTACGGGGGCAGTACCTAGGCCATGCTACTTCAAAGTATAGCCCGACATTGCTTAGATGAAGCTTCCTGGCAAGGACCCGGTATCTGGGTTCTTGTTAAGGGCTTTAAGAAATTTACTTTAGATGCCTATTATGGTAGCTTGAATTCCTTAACAACAGCCCAGGCATTGGGCGATTGGGTGTTTTATAGGACTGCTCGAAATTCGGGTCCTTCAAAGAGGTAGATGTTAAGCACCAAAGCATGTCCGAAACACTCTGGAGTACAAAAAGGTAGCCTCGGGTTTGGGGCATCGGGCTTACTGTGTACCGTAGGGGTCTAAGTCATTACCACTACTATTTTGGGGGGTTCCTTATTATCGGTATAGTATAATCGGCCCCAAAACCCTAGTCTAATTATGAAGGCTCCTATATTCCAGAACCCTACTATAGATCCCTTATAGGAACCCTTATATAGAGCCCTCTAAAAAGGAACCCTATAAAACCCTATTCTAATTATGAAGGCCCCTGTATGGGAGTTTCCGAAAATAGGGGACCCTAAGATAGTACCTTAAATAGTAAGATCCTTGTTATGAGGAGCGCAGAATAAGGTGCCCCTATTTTCGGAAACTCTAAACCCTAAACCCAAAACCCCAAAACCCTATTCTAATTATGAAGGCCCCTGTGTTCGGGTGTCTGGAGCAACCGAGGAACTTTTTGCTGGACGGCACCTCCTGCGCAAAGAACGCAGACGCCCAGCTGGAGAATCTGACCGGGTATCTGGGTGGCTGCTAAGGAGTGTGAGCTGAGCTATGATAATGTGGAAAAGGGAGTTTCCGAAGATAGAGGACCCTAATATGGTACCCTAGATAGTAGGATCCCATCTGTATAATCATAACTCATTCCAAGTCCCTAAACCCTAAGACAAAAAACCGCAGGTATAGCAAGATACACACGAAGCCGCTACAAGATTCCATCGAGAACTTTGAGCAGCTGAGACGGAAGCTTCTGCACACGAAGTGGGAATGGATGCTCTATGGATCTTAGCTACAGGCTGAAGCAGGCCTACTAGGACAACTTCTGAGTTTGAGGCCATGGTTCGGCGTTCCCATGCAGCTTCCTGGACGGCCGCGGATTGGAAGCATGATGAGCTGAAGACTGAGGTCATTGAAGACATCCTCACCCTCACTTCTTCACTTCTGGATTTCCTGGTCTTCCGCGCGTTGCCTCAGCATACCAGGAAGGAGCTCACGTCGACTTGCCAAGCAGCTGCTGGGGTGCGAAGACGGGACGAACGGCGAGAGACTGGCAGGATGCGAGCCGCAAGCGGGTGGAAGACGACATGTCTGCTTCTTGTGTAACCCTAAACCCTAAACCCTAAACCGTTGTGTGTCAGCTCTTTGGGGCTTGTCCAGGGTCTGTCCAGGCGGCCTCCGACAAACAGCACGCAGTGTAAGGCTTCTGTTGTCTTCCGAACGGTCTTTCTAGTGCACCCTCAGGGGCGTGTACCAAGGTCTTACATACACCTTCGGCATCAGCATCAGAACCACAGTCATCCCACCGAATCCCCACGCACACAGCCCCCCAAGCTTACACCCACCTTCACCCCGAAGCCTTACACCCTAAACCCTAAACCTTGCACCCTAAACCCTAACCCCTAGCCAAAGAAACGTAAGCACCAGATCCGTGCTAGTAAGCTTTCGTGGGTTGGCTAGACGGAAGGCTGAAGGATTATTGGAACCCCAAGCCCTTTAAGGGAACTTAAGGGAACCCCAAAATAATAACCGTTGACAGGGTTCAGGCTAGGGCGTGAGGAGGATTTTTGGATTTAGAGTCTGTGGGAGTCTTGCTTTGGATGTCGAAGTAGTCGCGTTCTGCAGGGAGGGCGAAGTTTCCGCGGAAAAGTTTGCAGACTCAAGAATTTGCGACCCCGAAGCCTTACACAAACTAACTTGAATCCCTTGAAAGCTCAAGGTGGATCCCAAATGTGTCATTTAAAGGCCCTGGTGTCTGGATCCCTGTCATAGTCCTTCGTATTGGAGGGCCTCTGTGAATCACTGGTCTACATGAATCTCCTTATGCTTGGCCAAGCTCGAGCCTCCGATCAAGCGCTTTTTCTGCAGAATCGCAAGGTGATCTTTCATTTCGAGGCCTCGCCGTTTCCCAGGCCTGCAAGAGATGAGATTAGGGTTTGGGGTCAGGGATTACGGTTTAGGGTGTTGCTTATGGTGTTTCTGTTTGCGAGACATGAACCATATAATGCGAGTACTTTCGTGCTAGGTTCGTGCTGCTGAAGAGTGCCGCAGAACGGCAGGAACGTGCATGAAAAGCTTCGTGCACAAGCCGAGGGGCTGGTATGGATGTGCCTTAGCCACGATGCCAGTTGCAGATGGATGAAAGCCGGAAGGCCCAAACCCCAACCGGAAACCTTAGTCCACCTCAAGCTCCAAACCCCTGGGACCTAGGCCCGAACCTAAGCTCCAAACCCAACACCTTGAGTTGCTTGTCTTCGGACCTCTGCCCTCCGCGGTCAGGCGCAGCTCCGTCCGCCCAGGCCAAGCCAGGGCCTGTAGAGTCTTGTGTGTTTTGTTTCGGCAGACATGGGAGTTTCCGAAAACTAGGGGGACCTTATTTGGGGGTCCTTATAATAAGGATCCTACTATTTAGGGTACTGTATTGGGGTCCCCTATTTTCGGAAACTCCCACATGGGCCGAGAGTCTTGGGTGCTTTTGGCTTTGGTTTTCTTTCAGGCTTCCGGCTTTCCAGCACGAGGGTTGCCGGGTCGATGAGGCTCGGCTTGGCCGTTTGGCCGCTTAGGAGTTGGTCTTGTTGTGTCTTCCTGCCTGCCCATTGAAGCCGATACCGTATGAATTGAGTATTTTTGCATGATAAGAAGCCCTAATTATCTCAAGACAGTGCCTCCTGAACGCTACAGCCTAAATCCTAAATGCTAAACCCTGAACCCTACACCAGCCCTTCAGGGTGACTTAGGATCTCCGGGTACGTGCCCCGGCGTCTAAGGCCGGAAGCTTGGCTTCGACACTGTTTCAGGTGTTAGAGGGCCCATGCCCGATGTTTATGGGTTTCAAATTCAAAGGTTTAGAAGAATTAGCTTCATGTTCCGTATATAAATACGCCATAGTATGCCACAGTATACTCCAAACGCCTATGATTGGAATGCAGACAGCTGTGCTAGCTGTGGACATCAACCCAAGGGTGTCAACAGCTAGTCCCAGTCTTGGAGCGTATGAGCGCCTGCTCAACCCGCGAAGCCCCAACGTCTAATCTCTGAATCGCCAAACATTACACAAAAATCGAACTTCGTGCCCAATGTTGGTTTCCTCCTTCAGCTGCGCCGGATCATGTCGCATGTCAAAAACCGGGCAAGACCCAGACTCCAACATCCCTCACCCAAGGGCCACTGGTTTAGGGTTTAGGGTTTAGGGTTTAGGGTTTAGGGTTTAGGGTTTAGGGTTTAGGGTTTAGGGTTTAGGGTTTAGGGCACTGGGGTATCGAACTCGACAGCATACTCGAAGGGCAGGTTCCCCACAGACCCAGAGAAGCCAATACCCATGAAAACAAGGGTTAGACCTTCGACTACATTGGACGTTTCAGATTGGCTTGAAGGCATCTTCCGAAAGTAAGACTTCTAAAGCCAGAACTCTGCAACTCTGAAGCCGTAAATCCCCAACCCTAAAACCCCCAAACCCTAACCCCCGCAAACCCTAAATCCCCAAACGGGGTCCGGCGAGCTCTTTGGGGGATGTGCTCCGGCCATGCTCAGCTGCGGACTCTGGTTGGGCATCCCCATGGGCCTCGTGGAGGCCAGCCTAAAACGGTTCAGGGTTTAGGGTTTAGGGTTCAGGGTTTAGGGTTTAGGGTTTAGGGTTTAGGGCGAAACCCTACTTGGAGGATCATGGGACCTAGTAACTAGGGTAACAGTTAAGGTACTTATAACCATACTTGCTAAGTCCCATGATCCTCCAAGTAAAACCGAAACATCAAACCCTAAACCGCAAGCCCTAAACCCAAACCTTAAATCCTAAACCCTAGGTCCTAAACCTTAAACCCTGCTCTTTGACTCTAGAACCCTAAACCCTAGAACCCTGAGCCCGAAACCTTAAATACTAAACCCTACAACCCTAAAACCCTGCATCCAGGTGGGGGCCAGCTTCAGCAGCTGCATGGCAGCCGCAAGAGAACAGATCCAGCGGGCCCCGGATCGGGAGGAGGAGAGTCGTCAGGCTAATATAATTTTATTAGGAATAGAAATAATAACAATAATAAAAATAACAATAATAAAAATAGTGATAATGATAATACGAATAGTAATAATAATAATAAAAATAGTAATAGTAATAGTAATAGTAATAGTAATAGTAATAATAATAATAATAATAACAATAATAACAATAATAATAATAAAAATAATCATAATAATAATAAAAATAAAAAATAATAATAATAATAATAATAATAATAATAATAATAAAAATAACAATAATAACAATAATAACAATAATAATAATAACAATAACAATAACAATAATAATAATAATAATAATAATAATAATAATAATAATAATCATAATAATAATAAAAATAATAATAAAAATAAAAATAAAAATAATAATAATAATAATAATAATAATAATAATAATAATAATAATAATAATAGTAATAATAATAACATAACTCCAACTTTGGTTGTTCACGTACTTTTGGTACGGTTTAGAATTTAGGGTTTGGGGATGTGCATGACACATGCATATTGTCTTCTATTTACATATACTTTTTACACATGCGTACATGCCGGCATACATACGAAGAGACGCTGAAGAAGAGCCGAAAGCTGTATGTCTCCAAACCCTAATCCTTCAACCCTCAACTATCAAACCCGATCCCTAAACCCTGGCCTCCACGAACAGCTCAGGCTACACCACAAGCCACATCTTCAAGAGCCAGCTCGCAAAGCGCTTCTGTGGGCAGGGGTCCAGCATGACAGTTCTGGAGCTGGGAGTACACATGGGCCACACCACGGCCGTCTTAGCTGCGATATTTCGGAAGGTGATTTCAGTGGACATCTTGAGGACGTCTTTGGATGTCGCTGCCAAGCACACCGCTGCCTTGCCAAACGTGTTTCTGCTATCTTTGGATCTTATGGCGGCCGACTGGCGGGCTTTTGCCAGCAACAACGTCAGCGTAGTCGTTATCGATGCGAGCCACGACTATGCCAGCGTCCTGTCGGACGCGCGCAACTCCCTGCACTACTTGCCGCACTTAAGGTACCTGGTCTTCGATGACTACGGCTTCGACCCGGTGTATCGAGCGGTGCAGGAGCTTCCGGGCTGTTCTTAAAAGTCGTGTTTCAATTTAGTACGGTGCTCTCTCAAACAGGAACAGAACCTAGCATTTGAAAGGGTAGCCCCAAGGAAAAGACCCCAAACCCGGCGAACCCTAAAAACCCCAAACTCGCAAAGATCCCTCGCACACTGAAAACCCTAAGGCAAGAGCAGGTCAACAAATACAGGACGAACTATTATATAGCTATCTTAGCACCCCCCCAGTTTAGAACCTTTTGCAGAACCTGCAGCCCAAAATCCGGAACAACCCTACACTTCCAAAAGCCTGCCCCACCAAAACATCAAATCCCTAAAACCCTAAATCCCCCTTGGAAGCCTTGAACTTCACCCCCAGAGTATGGGTACCCTTTTAGTATCCCTTAGAGACCCCTTCAAGGATCCCTTTAAAGGAATCTTCACAGGGACCAAAACGCAGCGCAGGCTTGAGGATGTAGGGCTCCTGACAAACTGCCAGAGCCTGGGCACCGGCTGGGACCGTCGCGTCGGCCGCTCTGAGGGCCGGGTCTGCAAGGCGGATCCCCAAAGGAGGAGAGGGTTTAGGGCTTAATAAAATGTAGGAACCTGATTAAGAAACCTTGGGCCTTTATTTGGGTTCCTTATCTGAATCCTACTATTTTGGGGCTATAGGCCCAGGGTTTCTTAATGAGGTTCCTACATTAGGGTTTAGTCATTTGAGTTGACAGCTTCTGAACCGGGTTTAGGATTTGCATAAAAACACATCTTAAGCTTTGGGGGTTTAGGGTTTAGGGATGTTTAGGGAAAGAGGACTCGAAATCTTTAGCCATTTGAAGCGACAGCCTGTGTAAATCCTGAACAGGATTTAGGATTTATATAAAAAGCGTTCAAGCCTTTGAGGGTTTGGGTTTTTAGTTCAGTGTTGCGGATCCTTAAATATTCAACCAACCTAAACCCAAAACCTTAAACCCCAAACCCTAAACGTTACAGAATAGGACGCGAGGGCGGTGTGCATTTGCGAGAGTCGTATTTTGGATGAGTTTTGGTGATTCGGAGTATTCTTACATCGCACGTTATATTCAATATCTTATGTCAAGCCTTAAACCCCAAACCCTAAACCTGAAACCCTAACCCTAAACCCACCAAGATCAACATCTTTAAGTCCGAAAACCCGAAAACCTCTCTTAGGAGCCTCCGATGGACCCTTCAGCGCAGCTTCCTCAACTGGCGCTTCCACCTTTACAGGCTCCCTTTAAAGGAGCCCTTAAACAGAGTCCTTAAAGGAGCCCTTAAAGGGAACCTTTAAAAGAACCCTTATAGGAGGAGCCCTTAAAGGAGCCCTTAGCGGAGCCCTTGCAGGCTGCCTTTCTGTCGGTTTTGGATTACGGGAATTACGGGTAACTACATGGTTCGTGGCGCGTTCCCGCGCGTGGTACAAAAGGCATGTTCTCATCGACGGACGTGCAGAAAACATCGGCAGGGGCGGGTTTTCAGCATGTCGGTCAAGGCATGCCTATTTTAGGAGGGAGCCTATTTGCCTACTTGCTTGTATTGAAAACGGTCATGGACGTGCAGAAAACATCGGCAGGGGTGGATTTTCAGCATTCCGGACAACGCATGCCTATTTGAGGGGGGGGGAGGCTATTTGACTACTTGCTCGCATTGAACTGGGCGATGGAAGTGCATAATACATCGGCAGGGGTCGGTTTTCAAGAGATCAGGCTTTTTTTTTCCTACATTGGGGGGCAGGCTGTTTGAGTACTTGGTCGCAAGTAGTTGTTACGGAAAGTGGCCTTTTCGTCGTCTCGCATGCTCGGCGCCCCGTCGGGCATGCTTCAGAGTGCAGAAGTGGAGCACTGAACCCAGGCTGTGTTCCAGGGTCTAGGGTTATTATCAAGGCTTCAAGCGGTACAGGGTGTAGGGTTCGTTCACGGGCAAGGGGTCTATAGGGGCTCTATATGGGATGTATGGATATAAGGGCCTTAAAAATTAGAATAGGGGTTCCTTTTAAAGGGGTTCTAGAACGGGTCTAGAACAGACGGGTCTATGTTTTAAGGGCCTTAAGAACTAGAACTGGGTTCCTTTAAGGGGTCTATAGGGGCTACTGTACGGGCTCTATACGGGATTTATGGATATAAGGGGCCTTAACAATTAGAATAGGGGTTCCTTGTCAAGGGGTCCTAGAACAGGTTCTAGAAGGGGTCTAGAACACACGGGTCTATGATTTAGGGGCCTTAAGAATCAGCAGTAGTAGAGCTAGTCTGAACACAAAGCACTAAAAAGCAGCAGGCATCAGCAGTAGTAGAACTGCTAAGAGTAGAACAGGTTCGTCATTAAGACCCCCCCCCCACCCCCCCCCCACCCCGCCCCCACCCCCCGAAGCCGCAAAACGTGCAAAGACCTGCAAAAACTACACGCGCGTGTACGCGCCACACTCCAACTACATGTTTACTGCGTGTGAAGAGTTTCTGCAAGCTTGGTGCTCCCTTCCCGTCTAGGCAGCATTCTGGGTCACGAAGGGTTTGCGCGAACTCGCACGAAAGCCTTCAAAAGACTTCGCGCATCCTTACCACAGAGCCCGATGCCGCTTTATCAGGAACAGACCTTACACCATACAGGAGTTCTTCGTGAGTTTATGAAAATTTCTGGGTGTGGGGCTCTCTGGGTTTGTCGAAAGCCCCGGTACCTGTAACACTTCTATAAAGCTGATCGAAGAGGGAATGGGCCCTGGCATTTCTTGTTTTCCCAAATCCCTAACCCTAAACCGCCTAAACCCTAAACCCTTAAACAAAAATCCTAAACCCCTCAACCCTACACCCTAAACCCTAAACCCTACTGGGATCCTCGCTGTGGTATGTCCGAGAGTGAGTGCTGAAACCCTACACCCTAAACCCTAACAGGGGCTATTGCAACCCTAAACCCTAAACCCTAAACCCTAAACCCTAAACCCTAAACCCCTCAAACCCCTTCAGGTTGCCCTTGACTCTGCAGCACTTCGGCTACATGCGCTTCCTCCCCGACGGAAGCCTCCTCTCCTCGCAGTGGCGAAGGGGCAACTGGAGTTTCGTCATGGGGGAGGCTGGATGGAACGCCTCGTCTTCCCGTTAAGGAATAAGGGTTCAGGGCCTAAAGTTTAGGGTTCAGGGCCTCCCTGCAGGGTTTAGGGTTCAAGGGTTGGGGCGTTCTTAGATTTCAGGCGTGCAGGGTTTAGGGTTAGGGTTCATGAGGCTTTTGAATTCTAGCGGCTTTTGAGTGGTAGACTGCAGAAGGATTGCATGGTCGAAGCACCCTTTTCCAAGGTCTAGGGTATCGTGGCCTCTTTCAGGATTTGTGCTTGTACCTTGTTGTTTCTCACACGATTTTGGAGCTCTAATTTCGATGGCGTCAGTCTTACGCCTTTTGCTTTGGGTCGTGCTCATGACCCTGATCCGACGTGCTTTAAACTTTAGAGACACTTTCATAGTAACCTTCATAGGAACCCTAAACTATGGGTTTGTAGAGTTTGTGGGGTTCGATGTTGAGGCTTCAGTGTCTCAGCACTTCAAGGCTAGGCTAAATGTTGACTCCGTAATGGGACGGACCCAAATAGACAACAACCCGAAGCCCAGCTCAAGGACAGCACCTGCAACCGTAAACCCTGAACTTAAACCCTAAGCCGCTGAAATTCCAAGCCCTAAACCGTGAAGCCCTAACCCGCAACCCCTACTGGGTCCCTACAAGTGTGAGGGAAAACGAGACACTGAGACCTCTATGGAGTACGTAGGGGTCCTCGTAAATCCCAAACCCTCAACTCGAAACTGTAGCTGCAAACCCTAAACCGAAAACCCAAACCCAGAAGCTTTCTAAAATGAAACCTTTTGACACCCCCAACCCTTGAGCTCTTTTTTCAAACTATACAACCCCCAAAACCCCAAACAGGATCGATACTTGCAGCTTCGCATACCGCGCCTGGGGCGGGGTGAGCGTGTGCTCCTGCACTTCAACGAGCGCCGCCTTTTGGAGCAATCTTGGCAGGGGGTTCCTTCTTTGACGGTGGCTTTAGGGTTTAGGGTTTTGGGTGTTGGGTTTAGGGTTTCGGATTTAGTGAGGCTCAGGGTTAGGTGGATGATGCTTGTTTTGGTCGTTGTCAGTATTGCCACCAGTACTGGTGAATTTCATCATTACATCATTACTCCTGTTAGTCTTGTCGTTGTTGCTACTAGCGTGAAAATCTTTCTTTGTCTGGTTATATAGTAGCGTTCATAGCGGGTGGGTCTCTTTTTGGCATCCTTAGAATTGGTGCTTGCTCTTCAGCACCTTTTCTTTTCTGAGCATCCACTGAAAGTTGTAATCGTGGTGGTCATGGTGGTCACAAGCAAAACAACACTTGGGGGCTCTCGTACAAGGGTTTGTGCTACTCAAAGGATGAGCCGATGAGCAATATTACAACTTGGTATACTACTTCTGGTAGTACTCGTCAATATATCATGCCAAGACTGACAAGCACGATGCGCGCCCAAGAATGCGCATCACACTTTGGCGGGAATGCGAGCCCTTCCCGATTCCGCAGACGGACACGCGCGGGACCGTCGCGGCAGGACGATGCGAACCCCAAATACACACGCCTCCGTGGCGGGAGCATGCTGTCGAATTTCGCCAACATGGACGGCAGGCATAGAGCTGCTGACCACGGAGACCCCGATGGCAGGCCGTCGTGCGAGTTCTGAGTTGCTGGAGTCAATGATTTGTTGCATGTGGTGCTTGTCGAAGAAGTCTGCGGCGGAGCCCTGCGCAGACACCGCCTGGCCACGCTGGTCGGCGTAGGGTCGCAGCACGGTCTTTGCGAGTGCGTACTTTCCCTCCAAATGGCATACCCCGTTCCTTTCTACAGCACTAAAAACTTATGGTTCTAGGCTCGTTCCTTATCATGATATCCATGTGCAGATGTACACAAATATGTATGTTGACATTTCACAGTGGCTAACATAAACCTCAACCTCAAATGCTTCAGTAGACTCAAGAAGCTTCTATGCTGTCAATTCAGAAGAAGCAACTCCTGTCTCGCCATCTCCCCAGCACATTTAGGACGTTCGAACACCTGGAAAAAGGCTGATCGTAATGTTGTACAAGGGTAGGATACCTTTTTGACCCCTTTGGGAAATACACATGCTCCCCACAGGTCTTCTGGGAATTCATGCTCGAACATGTCCCAAGACCCTTTGGAAGGTTCGGCTTTAGGGAGGCAGAGCTGCTAAGGCAGCCCGAACTTCAGCCTCAATCTGACACCCGACAGCCTAAATCCGAATCCACAGCCAACCGTCAAGCCTATGCAACCTGTCACAAAGCACTTTGAGCCTTCAGTGAGAGTCTCCCAAACCCTAAGCTACAAACCCTACACCACCCAAAACCCCAAAACCCTATACCTGTGGTCCAAAAGACCTACCATTTTAAGCAACTATATGAGTAATTGTCAAAATTGAGGTCCCTGTTTGGGTACCCTTTTATAGTACGGCACCTAATATTTAGGGTACCCAAAAGGGACCATAATTTTGACAACCACCCATATACAGAAACCATAGAGAGGGTAGACCCCATCCCCTAAGCCCACTGCGGCACCGATGGCCGAGGCAAGGGATTCCTCATGTGCCGGCTATCGATGCAGGCCTTTTGGAGTTTGGGGTTTAGGGTTTAGGGGATGTTCTTGGGTGTAGGGTTTAGGGTTTAAGGTTTAGGGTTTAGGGGTTTAGGGCCTTGTCTCTCAGCCCTTCTTGGGTTTTTTCGAGAATTAGGGGTGCCTTATTTTGGGGTCCTTATAAGAAGGATCCTACCATTTATGGTGCTATATAAGGGTCCCCTATTTTCGGAAACCCCTTTCTTGGGTGTAGGGTTTAGGGTTTACCTGGTCCATAGAAGGCTTCAAAGCCAATGCCGTGACTTATTTTGTAACCCTAAGCCCAACAGCTTCGGCCCTGAACCCCTCAACCCCTAAACCCTTAACCCCTAAAGCCTAAACCCTAAACCCGAAAGGGCCCATTGCGTTGACAAAAAAAATCTTAAACGTATCCTAACCCTTGATTGTCAGGTTGCAAGCTCGGAGAGGTCTAGGGTTGTCATATAGGGGCCTTGAGGGTTTAGGGTTAAGGGTTGAGGGTATAGGGTTAGGATTTTAGGTGACAACTTCGAAGCTTGAAAGCCCTTTTTATGAAAGCCTGAAGAATTACCAACACTCTCCCCTCAAACTCCCTAATACTACTATCCTAGAAATTCACTATGCCACCCCGAAACTATAACCCTAAACCCTAAAGACCTGAGATTCGTTTTCAAAACCTTGAAGAGGCCGGTATAGGAACCTCTCTTGCAGCTGGTTTAATGTTCGGTTAGTAGGGATTAAAGGGAGCTTTTAAAGGGGTCTATAAGGGTTACTATAACGGTACTATAATACAGGGGCCTTAATAATCCTATAACATACCTTTGGTTAGTAGGGAATGGAGGAATGGGGTACAAGTATAACTACTATTACTATTATTCTTCCACTCCCTACTAACCAAAGGTAAGTGAGTTGTTGAGGTTAAAGCAGAACGCCACTGAAGCTATTGCTCTAAGCCTTGAAGAATCGAAGCCCTGCAGTTAAAAACCCTTCAACCCTAAACCCTAAATCCTTAACCCCTGAAGCCTAAACCGTAAACCTATCCTAACCCTAAACATACCCGATTTGGGTTGGGCTCAGGGTTTCCCTTCAACATTAGAGCCGCCCCGAAGCCCTGAGCCCTGGGAGCCCGATCCCTGCACCCGAAAGCCTAAACTTGTATGCTGCCCTGTGTGGTACAAGCACCCTTACTAAGCCCTTAAAGGAACCCTTATGGATCCCCATTATGGTAACATAGATTAAGTCCCTTAACCCTTATAGATCCCTTAAAGGGACCCTTGTGGATCTCCATTGTGGTAACATAAACTAAGTCGCTTAACCCTTATAGATCCCTTAAGGGCACCCTTCAAGGGAAACCGCACAACCCGACGCCGCAGAGGAAGCAGAGTGGTTTGGAATCTCTGAGGACCTGGTCCAGGATCCTTTCAAGCTTGCGAACGAGGGCTTTCACTCCTACTAGAAACCAACCGCACACCTTTGAGGCCATCTTCCTTTAATACAACCGAAACGCGAAACTCCCTGCTCCACAAACCCTAAATCCTAGGCCGCGTATTTTGATCAGCACAAACGGGGTGGGTCACCGCGAGCGCAAGTGAGTGAAAGGGTCCATTCCTAAATCTTCAGTAGATAGTACACCTTGCAGCAGCCCTCGAAGTATCCGCTATAGCCACCTTAGAGTGACCCTTTTATTACGCTTTAATTTTCATAACCCTTGTAGTACCCTTTTGAAGTATCCCATTCTGGTATATCGGATCTTTCGACTGGCCTGTGAACTGTCTCCGCAAGGGGGTTTCGCCAGCCGCGCGTGGGCAAAAGACAAAAATGCTCTGGTTCTTTCTGCAAAGTTGATGAAGGTTTGGGTAGGGGCTTAAGTAGTTACCAATACTATTCTGGGGGTTCTTATTATAGTTTACTATGATATACCCCAAAACTGTAACTGCAGGGGGTGTGGGGTTTGGGCTTGCGAAGTCCTTCGCCCTGTGCAGCACGTCCAAGTTGGGGGTACAGGTCCGAAACGGGCTGAGAAGAGGATTGTAGGCTCTCCTAGTTTGGGTTTGGGCATGATCTTGAAATCGTGAACTCGCCCGCAGCAAAGCAAAAGACGGATTTCAGGGTACAGCTACTGGTTTGGGGTTCATTCTATGCGCCTTCCGTCTGAAACACAAACCCTAGATCCGGCGTTAATGTTCGTGTCACGGCATTGGACTTAGGATACTTGGCTTTATCAGTTTGGCTACCTACTTCAACTTGGGTTCAGGGTTTAGGGCCTCAGGGTCCTTTAGGGCTTTGTAACCCTAAAACCCAAAAAAGGGGTTCAGGGCATGGGGTTTAGGCTTCAGTCTAGTGAGGACTCAGCAGGTACCGAAGTCCCTAAGCCTCTGATAGCCCGGCCATTGTACCTGGGTGTTCGTGAAGAATCCTCTTCATGTTTATGGTCAGTTCCCGAACCCTGAATGATTTCAACCCCTATAGGTCCCTTATAGAGCCCTTTAAGGATCCCTTGTAGAGCCCTTTTCAGGATCCCTTATAGAACCCTTTTAAGGAAGCCTTAGTGCGGAGAGGTGTCGCACAGTTGATCGGTGCCTCAAGCAAAGCTATCCTCTTGGCAAAGCAAGGCTCCAGCTCCTGCACAGCCCTGTGTACCTTCCAAGGCCCCGAAGCCCGGAACACCTTAAGCCCTGAGCCATAGACGCTAAGGCCGCTAAGAGCCCTAAGATCCTTCACGCAATGAGCCTTCACCGCGAGGTGCACTGCTGGAATCAGTGAGTGCTTGTGGTGAGATCATTGAGGCAGCGCCGGGGGCAAAAAGGCAGTTTCACGATCAGTCCTACTCGCAAGACGGTGTTAAAGACTAGCGGCATTTGGGTCTCTTAAGCTGCCTGCTTAGATGATGCTTTTTGTTACGATGAGAGACCACAACCACCTCAAGACCAGCTGCAGCAGATCGAACTTCTCATGACATACTGGGCCCAAACCACCGAATTACCTGCACGAGCATTTAGTTTGGTTGCATCTAGAGGTTTTCTAGGTTTAAGTCTCGTCGCGCCATCAGCGTCGCAAGCGACTCGCCTTGCTCCATTTCGCATCAGCCGATCGTGCTTGGGTCGGTCCATGAATCTTCAGGCATTTGTAGTGCTGGGTAGTGCCCCCCCATACTATGCTCTATTATGGTTTGTTTATATCATGTGATAGTACATCATAGTTGGCCATTGCCTTGGCAGTTCAATCTTGTGTCACTGCGTCGAGGTATCGCTCAAACGGCACCATTGTGCTTGAGGAGCATCACGCAATATGTGAATCAGGTACAACATGTCACGTACCATTAGGCGGGAAATACGAATTGACAGGTGTGTGTGAATACACAACGATCAATGTGTATGCCAACTTGCTGAAAGTTGAGATTCGGACATGCAGCTGTGGACAGACCCGGTCGCAAAGACGTGATTACGTCGTTGCTGTTATATCGGAGTCAACGCCCATGTTCGCTGAAGTATCAGGATAACGGCCCGCACTGCTCCGGCTGCATGCAGGTCCGCTTTGCTCGCCTTGGCCCGGCAGTGAACATGCACGACCCCTCCAGTTGAGCTTCCGCCACAGGCGGAAATGCCCATCATGACCGCGGCGCGTCACCTCTGATGTGCTCGTGGACGTGTGCTGGAAGCTTCCAGTCCCCTGCGCCGCCCTCCTGGAGCTACACCCAACGGGACCACGACCCCGCGCATGTGGAAAGTTGTCTGCCCTTCCCACATGAACAATCAAAACCATATCTCGACTACCACCCGGCGAAGAACAGAGTTTCGTGCAACATGTGGCAAACCAGCCGTGGCAGCGTGGACAGCCTGTTCGGTCAAGGCTGTGGACGGAAGCGATAAGCACGGCGGGGAAAGCTCTTGGAGCAGTTGTTGATGAGCCTCAATACGCTGGGCAATCGTGACAGCGCGTCACTTGCGCGGTTCTGGGTTCGTTGACGACAGTTCTCCGATGTTTGCCGGATAGCAGTGCTTGCATTCGCTTGCGCAACCTGGTCATCGCCACGCATGCGATGCCCTTTGAACACTCAATCTCGCGAATTTGCCGCGAAGTTGGTGCGAGGGTCGCTCGCCACGTACGGCATGCAAACACAGACATCGAAAGTCTGACCCTGTGGCATAGGCTTTATGTCGTGCTGGATCCCACCAAAGGATGCTCCTTCACACGACGAGGTGAGGCCCACGTGCGCAGACGCTACAGCAACCGCTGGGCCATTGGTGCCGCGCAGGTGGCACCACAGGTAGCCGGAGCTCGAGCGAACGAGCAGCGAACGTGGCGCTGCCGCTTGATCCTTGCGGGCAGCAGGTTCGGCACCGAAGTGCAGCTGCCGCCCGTCGCGATCCGTGCTTGGATCTCGCAATGGTCGGCGAGGAGCCCATGCGCAGTTGCCAAACAAATCCAACGACCTGGTGCTCCCTTGCAAGGACAAGTACCGCTACTGGACTTAACCCTTTTTTTGGATCTTCTGTACGCATGATGGAGGCATGTGTCTTGAAGTTTTACAAGGGTTGTAACGCAATTTGCTGAAGAAAGTGCCCAGAAGAAAAAACATAATTGGCAGTAGATGCCAAGGCAAAAGTCGCCATGCCACCCAGTCGTCGGCAGGATCTGCAACATGTGCCCAACGGCACCAACTATCACAGTTCCAATGCAAAGCCGGATGTCCGAAACGTGTCGTGGAACCACGATAACCATGCGTGATGCGGCTCAGATGATGCAGGCTTCGGGCATTCAAAATAGAGTTGAGGTTGCGACTTCGCCGCACCGCCAGACAACTCTGAAGGGAATGGGTGCCGCCAAAATTTCCATCTGTCGTGCAAGACTGCAACCAGAAACCGCCAGCGAGCCGCAAATGCAGCCAAACGCCACCAGACGTACCTCATTTTGGCGAACCATCTGGCCGTTTCGCACCCCCCCAGCAACAATGAGCGTAGCAGAAACAAGTCCTGCAGCGAGGTGCAGCCCCAGTTTCCGCGCAAACCGTGAAACCAGGTATTATCAGGTTTTGATTAGAACGATGTACTTTTGCAAAGAAATAACGTGACGACCTGAGCTGCGCCAGCAGGGCACGCCAGTGGGTGCTGCAAGCTGAGTATGGCAGACCCCGTGCTGAACATGTGCTGCCGGCATTCGGACTTCGTGCTGTTCTTAAGCCTCACAGCCCATATCCATCCATTGGGCATCGGACCACCCATACGAGGATTCGATTCGTTTGCCGCGTGACGTATGCGGCTCGGCATGTTGTCGCTGAATGCCATCATGTTCGCGTCACCGTGATTCACGTGGTGCAGCGCAACCGTGCTTGTGTGGTAAACCACACTGGCGTGTGTGACATTGGCTTCGGGTCTGTCCGTTGCCTCGATCAGCAGCGTCAGCGCTGGATGCTTCAATTGCGACGCTATGCGACGCTGACTGGCCGATGTTGCACAGCTCCTTCAAAAAATCCCAACGCTTGGCATCTATGCCGCAAGATGCCACAGCATTCGCTCAATTGTGGTTCATTGACTGCAGCCCCGGTATGCTTTGCAATTTTCGTCCGCACGTTTATTCTGGAGAGTTGCAGGACCTTATGCTGCTTGGGCATCGTTTGATTCTCGTGATGTGTAGTCGCATATGGCCGCAATCGGCGCGCTTTGTTGCGCTGTCTTTTCTCACAGCTGACATTGGAAGGTTGTGCCAGAAACGTCAATGTCCAGCGTGTGTGCATTTTTATGGTTCGCCGCCCGTTTCGTCCTGGACAGTCCGGTTATAGGCCCGGCCACATGTGTTTGGTGCAGCTGCAGCTGCATGTTGAGCGGGAACCAGCATGCGTCGGACATCCCGGGGTTGCCTTGCGATAGCTGCGTTGCCACATTTGCTCTCATTCTACTATAGCAACCAGCTGTGCACTGGTTTCCCTGTCACAGAACCCCGGCATTTTTTCAGGTGCCTGAGGAGATTTCACACTGCTGCGAGATGTGTGCTCTATTGTATCTGTTGTCCACGAGTAGTTCATGCCCATCTCACATGATGTGTACGGCCTCCAAGTGCAACTGCGTGGGACCTGCATGTTCAGCGGAGTGGCAACTCAAGCCACTAGTGTTCTGAGCCCGTTTAAGGGTTTCAGTCATTTCATTCAAAATCGCCTGCGACCTTCGGCTGGCGACAACTCACGGTCATCTGAAACATGCAACAAGCCATCCGCCTCTTCCGTCCGGAAGTGTCATTGCGCAGCAGGCAGTCTGCAAGCAGCACCAGCAGCTGGCCCTTGCGTATGACGCGAGCTAATCACGCCATTAGCTATGTTCATGGGCTGCAGCTGGCCACCAGCCGTGACCGCCTGATCTCGCGGGCCTGGTGCTGGCTTTCTCGCGTGGCGATCGTGAGGCCACCACATCATGCGCGGCTGGGCGGTTTTGGGTGCATTGGAAACGACTCAAGTTGCGCTTT